GATCCTTCTTCCTTGGCCTCCCAGTGCTAGGATTACAGGCGTGAGCCACCGCGCCCAGCCCATAACAGACTCTTAATAATCTCCTCATGGATCACCTATCAAATGCATTCTCCAGGTTTTGCTCTGAAATTTGTCTAACATGAAATTCCTATTGGATGGACAATGATTTGACACTCCTGGCAGCATTAATATATGTATTTTTATTATATACATATATAAGTATATAATTTACATTACACATAATTATATAATAAATATTTATTACAGATAATGTAATTATATAACATATTATTTATATACACACACACACACACACACACACATGCAGCCCTCTAGGGGGAAAAAGTATGTTTTGTCCCTAGAGGGCAAAATGGCTTTCAGTAATGGCAGTTAGGTCTGTATAGCTAGCCTCTCAAAAGAACAACTTTGACAGAGACAGCCCTCACTGGTATATGAAAGTTCTGGTATGTTTGCTAAACAGTAAATCATACTACATGTCAATATAATTATAATGTGAACATCATATCAGAAAACAGATGTTACCCTTTTCTGCCATGCTATGAATCATCTGGTTATGGAGTGGCTGAGCAAGCAGAAACCTTTCACTTGGAAATTCAAATCTGAAAGTCACAGTGCAGTGCTGAATTAAGTTTTCACAAACACCATATAAAGAGAAGCTCCAGACATTAAGACTGCATACCTTTTCAATTTGTTTTTGTTTACTGAGTTCTTTCTGTTGCTTCTCTTTTACTCTTTCTATTTCTTTTTGTTTTTCTGATGCCCTACGATCCTAAAGAACAAATGAATAAAACTAATGAATTAAATATGAAATAACTTTAAATTATAGACATTTCAATTAATATCTCTTTTGTAACCTTCTAATTTTTTTGCATTTATATATGAGAAAGCATATCGACAGTTTACATTCTATGGTAGATAGTTATCCAAAGTCTAAATGCTATATCAGCAATAGCATCCACTATTAATCTTACTTAGCAAAATCATTTTATCTACTTGCTAACATCAAAGAGCTTATATTATTATACCACTTTAGTTACCATTCTTGGAATATCAAGCATCTCAGATTCTTACCAGTTCAGCATGCAAAGCTATCTGTTTTGCCAATCCGACAGAATCACAAATCTAAAACGAGAAAAAGTATGTTCTCAGGCAGTTCTCACATCAAAGCAACAATTTCAAGTATTCGAATACCTGATATAACTAGTTTTAAAACTAGTCATAATACATTGCTTCAAACAAAAGCTGATTTAAGGCCGGGCGCGGTGGCTCACGCCTGTAATCCTAGCACTCTGGGAGGCCAAATGTAACTCCTCAGCAATCTACTGCAGAGATGATCAGGTTTCTTTTAGACATGTGGAATTTAATGTTAATGCATAGTATACTATGTTTAAGGGGGAAAAAAAATCAATGCAAACCTAAGTCATCAAGTTCAGTCTTATTTTTTAAAAGGAAGCTAAAACAAGTAAATATAAAGCTTAGTCTCCTCCTTGATATTTCAACATAGTTGTTACCTTATGCCATTTCACCACAGAAATTGTCAAATTCCAAGGGGGGAAATATGAATCAAAAAGCAAAGATAAGTTTATGCTTCTGATTCTCTCTTCTTTCCTTCTTCTCCCAAATCACTCTCTTCTGACTGGCTACTGCTAAGGACAACAAACTGCCCCTCACTACTAGCTTGGTTTGGTCTACTGGAAGCAGCTATCAACCGACTTTGTTCTTCCAAGTCCTAGTGGAAAAGACAGAAAAGAAACTAGGTTAATTGTCTGCAGTCAAATGGAAAACTATGCAGTTAAAATACATACTTGAGAGCCACTTCAATCCTTCTGTCACAAATACAGATTCATAATTTTGATGAAAAGAAAGGCCACATCCAATGTAACACCAAAGTGAATTTTGGTGCCATTCTGGAAATCCTACAAAAGCCAACATTCAAACTAAAAATCTCTGGAGTGTTTTCCTTTTTTATGGCTAACAACCAAATCCAGGCCATCATCATCTCTCACTATACACTACAGTAAAAGCCTCATAAGGGATCACCCCACACCCTTTCCTTTCCCCCTCTGAGGACTCTTCCCCATTCCTGTCCAGTTCATCTTGCTAAATCAGGTGTCACCTTTCCTCAGTCCACCTGAGCCTATCAACAAAGCCTGACTTCAGTGTCATCTTTGCCACTTTCCTCTTCTTTGTCCACATATCCAATTGATTGCCAATTCTTACTAATCTAAGTTACCCACAACTGTCTTCTCTTTTCTATTCTTACTGTCAATGCCACAATCCGTAACAGACTCTTTTTTTTTTTTTTT